ACTTCCCGAAAACGCAAATCCATAAAAAAATTTTTTAAAAAAAAAAAAAAGTAAAATTGGGCCAGCCAGTGGCATGGTGCTAAGGAAGCTGGATCCCACATGGCCAAATGCACGGTTTGAGTCCCAGCCTCTTGAAAAACATGCTGAAGGAAAATGGAGGGGAAGGGACTGCAACAGGGCCCTCTCCTCTGTAGGGTACTTTCTCACTCCCCTTCCCCTCTGGCGAGTGCACGTGCTGTATAGCAAAACTTTATAACTAAATAAATAAAAAAGAGATGATCCAACCCTACTCCTTGAGAAATAACCTCACTATTAAAAATTGGGCTGGGGACCAGAGGTGGCGTGGTGGTTAAGGCAATGGACACGCCCACATGGCTGACTACAGAGTCCTGATTCTAGTGGCTTGCTTTCTCACTCCTCCCCACCCCCCTAGAGACAGAAAGCGAGAAATCACACCCGAGGGGATGGTCACGCCGCAATCCCTTCTCCTCCATTCTCCTCTCGGGATCTTGGGCACGCACACACATGTGCCCAGCGTGAGTTTTAAGGCACACGCGCCCGGCGTGAGTTTTAAGCCACCGAGTCTGGGACGCGAACCGCGGTCGACTATGTGGGAGTCCAGCACATAGCCATTAAGCTAACTGCTGGTTCCCAAAATAAATAATTCTTTACAAAGAAAAAAAAAATTGGGCTATGAACTTCGAAATTTTTCTATACATATGCATATATCTCTAGGATTTCTGTTTTGTTTTTTTTTAATTAAAAGGGATACTGCACGTATTGATTTGTAAGTTGCATTTTTCACATAAGGTATTGAAGTTTTCTTTCCATGTCTATACTTGTAACTGGACTTCATTCTTTTCCTCTCTCTCTCTCTCTCTCTCCTTTTTTTTATTGCCAGGGGGTGCATGCACCCACTAGAGATAGAAAGCGTACCCCCCCAACCCCCACGGGACATGGCCTTGCCACAATCGCTTCTCTTCCATTTCTCCATCCCATCAGGATCCTGGACATACTTGCACATGTAACTGGCATGTTTTTCAAGCCACCAGGGCTAGGACTTAGACCATGGTGGCCAGGTGGGATCTGGCTCTTCTTTACTAGATTACAGGGCTAGTCCTGGACTTGCCTTGGCTCAGTCCTCTCCTCTTTAATAAAATCTCTCTCACAGAATCAAAGTAAAGGCCTTGACTTAAGACAGAGCTAGATTTTATCCCAATGCTGCTGTTTCCCAGCTGTGTAACCTAGGACAAATTATTTAAACTTTTTGAGCTTTGGTTTCTTTATTTGTAAAATGGAAATAATAACTTCTTTCAAAAGATTGCTATTAAGATAAAATGAGAGCACTTGTGTATCGTGGCTGGCTGGGCCCAGTGGGCAATTAACAAATGCTGGCTTCTCCTTCCCCATCACAATGCCTGGCTTTTGTCTCTGATCCTCCTTCAGTCTTTTAGTCCCAATCTGCCACCACCGTATCTTTTCATCTGGATAGCCCATCTTTGCTTTAAACTCAATGAATAGCCTTTCCTTCTGAAAGGAGGCACAATAAAGAACATTTTATCTTAGGAGCTGGCACCAGACTCCTCTTAGGGAAGGCACTGTCTATTGGAGGGTCAGACCTTAATGAGCTACTCAGAAGAGAGAGTGGCATGCAAGAAGGGAATGGGCATTTCAGGGCTCCTTGATGAAACCCAGATGGCTTTGTAACTTGTTTTCCTTCCTAGGGACAAGTGTGAAAGTCAAAAAGAACCTCAGGAGCTAGAGGGCTGGGGAAAAGAGATGACATCGTGATGAGACCCTGTTGAAGGTGCTTCTCTCTCTCTTTCTCTCATGCACACACACATTCTCTATCACTGAAAAGTAAAGGCAGGTTGGCTTTGTGGCCTGGTAGTTGGGGCAGCTAGATCCCACATGGCCAACTGCATGGTTCAAGTCCCAGACTCAGTGTTTGAGAAACATGTGTGTGCACGCATGCCCAGAACCCCAAAAAGAGGGAGAGATAGAGAAGAGATTGATTGCAGCATGGCCATTCTCCATGAGGGGTGCTCTTTCTCTCTCTCTCATAAGTGCACATGCCCTCTAGCCAAAAAAAAAAAAAAGGAGAAAAACTAGTCAAGACCTGGACCTTTCCAACTTCCATTACAGTGGGTTAGCATGTATGAATTTGCTATCAAAGTTCTGTGCTTCTAGTCTCTGAGATTCGAACCGCAGTCAACTACATGGGAATAGCCACTACGCCAACTGCCGGTTCTCTCTTGGCACATTTTTGAAGTTAACCCATGTTGTGTGGCATGTATCAGTAGCTCATTCCTTTAAACTGCTAAAGTGTTTCCTTGTATAAAGACACTACATTTTGTTTATCCAGTAACTAGCTGATGGACCTTTGGAATATTTCCAGTGTTTTGGCTACTATGGGCAATGCTGCTATGAACATCTGCATATGTGTTTTTCTACATACTTATGTTTTCATTTCTTTTGAACAGATCTGTAAAAGTGGAACTACTGGGGACCAGCAGGTGGTACAGTGGGTCAAAACACTAGATTTCCACATGGTAGACAGCAGTTCGAGTCCCAGACCCAGCAGCTTGAAACTTGTGCTGGGGGCTTGTGCATACGTACCAGAATCCCGAGAGGAGAAAGGATTGCAGCATAGCCATCCCCCCTGGGGGATGATTTCTCACTTTGTCTCTCTCTCTGGCGAGTGTACATGCCCTATAACAAAAATCCCTCAAAAAGAAAAAGAAATCTTTTCCATTTCAAATCAAATATCTTCTTCTGTCTTCTTCTAGGAGCTTTATGGTCTTAGTTCTTGCATTTAGGTCTATGATTCTTTCTTAAAAATAATATTTGTTCAGGGTGCATGTGCTCACTGGAGAGAAACAAAAAGTGAG